TTTTTCCAAATCATTTCTAATATATATATATATATATATATGGTATCAGATTGATCTAATTTCTGTGCACTGAGGACAAGCAAGTCCTAGGTTACAAACTGAACTCTCCCATGCAAGAACAAGAGGCATTTCTTCCTTTAGGAGGTGCTGTGGTCAGAAGGAAAGAAAAAGCTTTCAGCTTTGTTTTTGCATGTGGGTGGGTATTAGTCAAATTTTATGGTCCTAAAATAACAGAATGACTTTCAATCTGGAAAAGAAAAAAAAAGTGCTAATGTTGCATTTTTTTCAATTTTCCTGAAAATTTCCTTTTTTTCCGGAAAAAAGCCCGTTTTTTTTCCGAGCGTCAAAATTTCCAGAAATTTTGCATCTCTATCCAGCACTTCAGCTTCCTCTCTGTGTGTGGCTCCGCCCCATAACAACAACAAGAAGAGAAGAGATTGGATTTATATACCGCCCTTTACTACCCAAAGGAGTCTCAGAGAGGCTCACAATCGCCTTTCCCTTCCCCTCCCCACAACAGACACCCTGGGAGCAATGTTCCCTCTAAGCTGTGGAATCTTGTGAGCAAAAATTCTACTTTGTGAGCTACTGACATTAAAAGTTATGAGTAAGCGGTTTGGCTACTGCATAAATTAGTTTGCTCTGGAGCCATCCTCCCTGAGCTAAAATGAAAACGTGTGAGCTGGAGGCTAATAAACTGTGAGCTAGCTCACACTAACTCAGCTTAGAGGGAACACTGCCTGGGAGGTAGGTGGGGCTGAGAGAGCTCTGAGGGAACTGCTCCTGAGAAAACAGCTCTGAGAGAACTTGTGACTGACCCAAGGTCATCCAGCAGCTGCACATGAAGGACTGGGGAATCAAACCCGGTTCTCCCAGATTAGAGTCCACCCACTTAACCACTACACCACACTGGCTCACTAGCAGAGCTCTTGAAGAAAACTGTAGTGTCTGTTCACATTGGTTGGCAGCGTTTGGGGAGCTGGCACTAGAGTCGGTGTAGCCAACCTCTGGGAGGCTGCCGGATAGAACTGACTGATGGCACTGGAGAGAGATGCTTCTCCTAGGTAAGTTATTATGTTTGCCCCAAGGGTTCCAATGGGGGCCTAGAAAAACGCTGGTATTTTAAGAGTTCTATACTCAAAGAGAATTTAGTGCACCCTGTGTCTTGTATGTATATCACTCTCCTTGAAAAGGATTGTATTCCATGCAGGTAAATTATTAGAGTCCCCTGGGACTAGAAATTGTGAAACTGACAAGGGGCTGTTTGAATGTTTGAGCGTAGCGTAAACCCGCACTCTGATGTATTCTTTCGGTGAACCTATATTTGATAATACTGGACACTAATTTATATAATAGTATAGAAAAATTTAAAAAATAAAAAGCAGAAAACAGATCTACCTTAAGCATACATCTATTATAAAGTAAAGGTAAAGGTTTCCCTTGCTCGAAAGCCAGTCGAATCTGACTCTAGGGTTACGGTGCTCATCTCCGTTTCAAAGCCGAAGAGCCAGCGCTGTCCGAAGACGTTCCCGTGGTCATGTGGCCGGCATGACTAAACGCACACGGAACGCTGTTACCTTCCCACCAAAGTGGTACCTATTTACCTACTTGCAATTTCTTGCTTTCGAACTGCTAGGTTGGCAGGAGCCGGGGCCAGAGACGGGAGCTCACTCTGTCATGCGGCACCCGGGTCTCGAACAGCCGAACTACCGGCCTTCCGGTCTGCAGCTCAACCTCTTAACCACTGAGCCACTGCAGCCCCTTCATCTATTATACACAGTGTCATATATTTTTCCATAACCTCCAGGAGGGGCCTAGAGATCTCCAGAGATTACAATTGATCTCCAGACAACAGATCAGTTCCCCTGGAGAAAACAGCTGCTTCTGGAGGGTGGACCCTATAGCAGTCATACCCTGCTCTCCCTAGGCGCCACACCTCCAAATCGCCAGGAATCTCCAAACCCGGAGCTGCCAACCTCTAACCTCAGAACTGAGCAAGTTTTTCAGGGATGTGTCTGGGAAAGAAAGAGTCAAGGCCGAAAGAATGAGAGATGAAAATACTTACTCACTGGGAGCTTTAGAGTGCTATCCTAAACAGACTTACACCTTAATAGACCAATTCACTTCAAATCAGCTTAGAACAGGGGTGTCAAAAATGCGGCCCGGGGGCCAGATCAGGCCCCTGAAGGGCTTCCATCAGGCCCGCAGTGGAACTGGCCGTCTCCTGTTTCCAGTTCTACTCCTGTATCATAGCTTGCTTCGCCAGACTCTCTTAATCACTCAGTCATTGCATGTTTTCCCCTGGGTCCTAGACTCAGAACTCTGAGCATGAGATCTCTGTGGTGAATGTTGATAAATCAAAAGTAGGTTTGTAGCCTACACAGCTAATGTTTTAAGCATGTTTTTATTTTAAGTAAAAAAAACCTCTCTGCGTTTGTGTCCTTTATAAAGTTGATAGCTCCACTACCTGGCATTATATTTCATGACACACGTAGCCCGGCCCGACAAGGTCTCATTTATGTCAGATCTGGCCCTCCTAACAAATGAGCTCAACACCCCAGGCTAAGAAAGATGCAACTCTGGTTAGAACTGCGCTGCTAATCTGTTTTGGCCCAGATGGCAGGCACCACCACTTAAAGGGCCATTAGTTACACACGGCGCACGTTTTTAGGTTTCCATAATGGAAGAGAGGCAGCCGGGTGACATCCTGCCAAACGCCGGTGCGTGTTCCCAAACGGCCTCCCGATCCCTCGTTGATCCAAGTTTGTCTTGCCTCCAGCATGGTACAAACGGGTGGCTACAATAAAGCCAAACAAGAGGACAGTAGTGCCACTGTGAGAGGCGGGAGAAGCTCTTGATTGTATGTAGGCCCCCCTCCCCTTCTCAACAGCTCAAAGAGGCACTGCCCTGCGTTTCTTCTGGAAGAAACCGGGGAAAAGAAGAAAACTCAAGGCTTGGGAGGAGTCACTGAGAACACCTCTGTGGGCATCCTCGGCCTGGCCCCATGAAGCAGGCAGAAGAAGAGGAGATTGGGTTTATACCCCGCCCTTCACTACCCAAAAGAGTCTCAGAGCGGCTTACAAACTCCTTTCCCTTCCCCTCCCCACCACAGACACCCTGGGAGGTAGGTGGGGCTGAGAGAGCTCTGACAGAAACGGCTCTTTTTCAAGAACAGCTTGGTGTAGTGGTTAAGTGCGTGGACTCTAATCTGGGAGAACCAGGTTTGATTCCCCACTCCTCCACTTGCACCTGGCTGGATGACCTTGGGCAAGCCATAGTTCTCTCAGAGCTGTCCTTGAAAAAGAGCAGTTTCTGTCAAGAGCTCTCTCAGCCCCACCTACCTCACAGGGTGTCTGTTGTGGGGAGGGGAAGGGAAAAGAGTTTGTAAGCCGCTCTGAGAGTCCTCTGGGTAGTGAAGGGTGGGGTATAAATCCAATCTCTTCTTCTTCTTCTATCAGAACTACGGCTTGCCCAAGGTCATCCAGCCAGGTGCACGTGGAGGAGTGGGGAATCAAACCCAGTTCTCCCAGATTAGAGTCCGCGCACTTAACCAGGACACCAAACCAGACTGTGGACAGGCTTCGCTGACTATCAGAGGACACATCGAAGCAGGTGGCTCTTGAAGGGATACAGGAACCTAAGCTGTTAGGAGCGAGAGGTCAGATCCAACTGGGCCGACCCTCTCATGGAATATAGACAAAATGCCTGGGTGAGGTCATCTTCCAAGCACAGACAGACAGATGCCTCTCTGGTTCAAGAGAAAGGCAACCGCCACCCCCTGCAAGACCTGAACTCTGGGATTCAGAGTAGTGCGGCCTCTGTCCAGGGAGGGCTATGCCTGCTTCCAGCTTGTGCATTTAATTTGGGCCGGTTACGAAGGACAGGTTGAACAGGCCACCGTGCATTACTTACGAGGAAAGGCAAAACTGATCCCTAACAACAGCTGAGGGGTGACATGATCGAGGTTTATAAGATTATGCCTGGGATAGAGCAGGTAGAAAAAGAGATACTTTTCTCCCTTTCTCACAATACAGGAACTCGTGGGCACTCAATGAAATTGCTGAGCGGTCGGGTTAGAACGGATAAAAGGAAATCCTTCATTAACACACAGAATTCACTGCCACGGGAGGTGGTGGCAGCTACAGGCATCGACAGCTTCAAGAGGGAACTGGATAAGCATATGGAGCAGAGGTCCATCAGTGGCTATTAGCAACAAGGTATAGATAGGGGCTCTCAGTCTGGGGCAAGGGATGCTCTGTATTTTTGGGGCTTGGGGGGGGGGCAACAGTGGGAGGGCTTCTAGTGTCCCGGCCCCGCTGGTGGACCTCCTGAGAGCACCTGGTATTTTTGGCCACTGTGTGACAGAGTGTTGGACTGGAAGGGCCATTGGCCTGATCCAACATTGGCTTCCTTTATGTTCTTATGTTAACCATCCTGCAGCTCTGGACCTCGTTTGGGAGACCCACACCCTCATGGCCCGTTTTATACAGGACGTGATCCAGGGCCCTTCCTCCTTAAGTATCCCACACGTGCCCCCATGCTGTGATCACATATGTACAGGTCGAATGCTGGTAACAAGCTGCCTAATACGCCACATCA